ATTAAATAAAATGACATAATTTAAGGTTGAAACTTTAATTATTTTTTAGAGTTAGACTTAATATGTATTGTTTCCTAATTAAATATAATAGTGATAAAAAAAATAATTTTTAGTGTGTATATAAATTAACAAGAAAAATTTTTTTTTTTTGATTCTCAATTAGAAGAATATTTGACATTAGTACTATTTTATCTACAGGTGTAGGGACACAGGGCACTTTTTGTCCTCTTGCTAAAAATTGCCATTAAGAGAGGAGAGGATGGGGATGGAAAGAGTCCCCAATCTCCTAGCACTCTTGTCATACTTATTTGTAAAAGCATAACAAAAAAATTTTTAAATAAAATTTTTAATTGTATATATATAATTATTATATATTTATTATAAATTTTTATTTTTTAAAAATAATCAAAAAATTATCAAATATATATTTAAAAATACAATACAACTAACATAAAAACCCCAAACCACACTTCCAAATATACTTAAAAATTTTTAGATTTATTTAAAAAAATTAATATTTTGGTGTTTGGCTAAACTCCGTACTTTTTAACCAAAAAAACTCCTTTTACAAACTGCACCAAGCACACACTTCATTTCACGGCCGGTAAAAACTTATTTTTAGCTTTTTACTTTATTAAATATATAGGTTTTAGTCCCTCATTTTATAGTATAACACTTTTAGTCTCTCACTTATTAAAATTAAAGAAAATAACCTTCACTTTATAATATTTCGTTAGTTCTGTTAATTGCTTGTTAACTCTGTTAGCTGATTATTAATTTTGCTAACTAAAAATAAGTTTTTGTCAGTTAACAATCAACTAATAGGCAACTAATAGAGTTAAGAGTCAGTTAACAGAATAGTTCCGTTAACTAACTATTAACTTCATTAGCTGAAAGTAGGTTTTTATCAGTTAACAATCAGTCAATAAAGTTAACAGTCAATTAACAGAATTAACAAAATCTTATAAGTAAGGGTTATTTTCTTTAATTCTAATAGGTAAAGGATTAAAAGTATCATAATATAAAATGAATGGTTAAAACTTACAGATCTAATAAGATAAAGAGCTAAAAATAAGCTTTGTCTCCGGCAAAATACTCAAATTCACCCCCAAAATATAGTAGTAGGGACGGATTCACCTCCGAACAAAAAATGACGACAAATCCACCCACAAAGTTCCGACTTAGACAAATCACTCCAAATTTAACGTGTGACATCATCTGATGTAAGCAATCTATTAATTTATTATTCATTAATAACAAATTGCTGATGTTAGATAATGTCACATGTTAAATTTAAAATGATTTGTCTAAATCAAAAATTTTATAAATAAATTTATTCTTATTTTTTGTTCAAAAATAGATCCACCCTTACCATTGTATTTTAAAGGTGTATTTGGATATTCTACCTTTATCTCAGGCAGAACCCTCAAATCCACCCTAAAAAAATATCGGTAGGGACAAATCCACTCCTCAAAAAAAAAGCAAGGACAAATTGCCCCTCCAAATCATAAATCAATACAAATCACCCCTTTTCAACGAAAAACGTCAAAATTCTGTTTGCCACGTCAGCATTTTTTAACAGAAAACGTTGAAAAATGGGTGATTTGTATTGATTTATGATTTAGAGGGGCAATTTGTCTCTGCTTTTTTTTGAGGGGTGGATGTGTCCCTACTGATATTTTTTAAGGGTGGATTTGAGGGTTTTGCCCTTTATCTCACGCCACACACTGGGTTTGTTAAGTTTAGCTGTGATTGTGATGATGGTCCAATTCTTTGATGGAGGAAACACGATAGCATTTCCCGCATCACGTTAAAGCTTAAAATTTCTAAATTAATTCTCAAAAAATTAATATTTTAAAATATCTGAGATTTTTGAAAAAATATAAAAAAGGGCAAAAATCATGTTATAGCAAAGAACTGAGAAAAAGTAATGTTCTTGCATATATTTCATAAAGAATTCAAGTACATATATATATATACAATGCTAGATAAGTTAAGGCAAAAGATCCTAAGCTAACGGTACAGAATTGAATAAGGAAAAACTAGGAAATAAATGTGCCTAACGGCTAGCTAACAGCTAGTGATTGATTTTGTGTTGTGATTGAGATTCTATGCTAGTGAATATCTCTAACACCCCCCCCCCTTCAAGTTGGTGCATGTAAATCTTTAATGCCCAACTTGTGGAGAAGAATTGAAATTGATCACCTCCCAATGCCTTTGTAAATATATCAGCCACTTGTAGGTTGGAGCGAACATGAGAAGTCTTAATAAGACCAACTTGAATCCAATGACGAATAAAATGACAATCAAGTTCAATGTGTTTTGTGCGTTCATGAAAGATTGGATTTGTGGCTATGTGAATAGCTGCTTGATTGTCACAATGCAATTGCATTGGTTGAGAAGTATCAACTCCTAATGTCTTGAGCAAGCCTTTGAGCCATAGGAGTTCACTAACAGTGGAAGCCATAGCTCTATATTCAACTTCTGCTGATGATCTTGAGACTGTGGATTGTTTTTTGGTTTTCCACGATATAGGTGAGTTACTGAGCAAAGTGAGGTAGCCAGTTGTAGATCTCCTTGTTGTGGGGCAACTAGCCCAATCAAAATTGCAATAGGCTGAAAGTTGTAAAGAACTTGATGAAGAGAGGAAAATCCCTTGTCCAGGTGATGATTTTAAGTATCGTAAAACCCGCATTGCTGCATCTAGATGAGGTTGTTGAGGAGCTTACATAAATTGACTAAGAGTATGGACAGCCTATGAAATTTTAGGGCGAGTTAAAAATAAGAAGCTTGTGGGTTAAATATAAGGAAGGCTACTCCACCTATTGCCAATTGGTTTTAGGTTGGATGCAAGCCTTGTGTTGAGCCCACATGCACAATTCTCACATGGTATCAGAGCAGAATTGATCCTTTAGCTTTCCAACCAGTCTCCTATATTGCATAGGATCAGATATAGGGGAACCAGTACTAGGAGTGAGTTTAAGCTTCTGCTCCATAGGAAAAGGGCATGGCTTGGTTCCAAGCATTCCAGCTTCAGTAATTTTGGCAAGTGTATATTTTCGTTGACAAAGGAAAATTCCAGAGGGATGCCGAGCAACTTCAATACCTAAGAAGTATTTGAGCTTGCTAAGATCTTTAATGTGAAACATTGTATGGAGAAATTCTTTCAATTTCTGACAAAGAGATGAATTATTACCTGCAATAATCAAATCATCAACGTAAACTAGTACGGCGAGGAAATTATTCTCTTGTCAATAAGTGAAAAGTGAATAATCACTCAAATTGTTGAAAACCAAAAAGTTTTAAAGCTGAAGCAAATTTGGCAAACCAATTTCTTGATGCTTGCTTGAGTCCATATAAGGACTTCCTTAGGCGACAAACACGTTGTTCTCCTTTATTCTTGTAGCCTGGAGGTAGTTGCATATAAACTTCTTCATTAAGATCTCCATGGAGAAAGGCATTGTGAACATCCAATTGATGTAACTCCCAATTACAAGCAGCGGTGATAGCTAGTAAGCATCGAACGGTAACTAGCTTAGCAACAGGGGCAAAGGTATCATGGTAATCTATGCCTTCAACTTGGGTGAATCCCTTTGCAACAAGATGTGCCTTATATCTTTCAATTGTCCCATCAGCATTATATTTGATTTTATAGACCCATTTGCAACCTGTAGGTCTTTTGTCAAGAGGAAGCATCTCCAAAGTCCAAGTATTATTTTTCTCGAGAGCATCAATTTTGGCTTTCATCGCTTGTCTCCATTTGGGATCTTGGATAGCCTCAGAAAAGGATTTTGGCTCATCTTTAGTGGAGATGGCCGCTAGAAAAAAACGGTGAGTGGGACTAAATTTATCATATGTAATAAAATGAGAAATAGAATATCGCGTACCTGAGGTCGAAGAAGTGTTGGTATTTGTTTGAACTCCATTTAAGATGTAGTCTATGAGGTAGGTTGGTTTCCTTCTCTCGTGTTGTGGCCTTGAATCGAAATTAATGGGATTGGCCACATTACCATGGCTTGCATCAGAAGTTCTAGCAATTGTTGGGTTTGCATCTCCCTCTCCGTGTGCAGCATTGCAAGCATCGGTGCTTGAGTTAGCACTATCAACATTCCTTGGGCAAGCTTGTTTGGACCGTATGATGGTGGGTTGATCAGCTTCTGGTGGGTCTTGCTGCATGTAGCTAGGATTTGTAGATTTGTTTCCTTGATTTCTAAATTGAATAGCTAATGCATCATCATCATCAAAATATTGTAAAGGCATGGATTTTCTTGACTCATCATGGCGAATTGAATTAGTGTCTTGAAATGGGAAAATGTTTTCATAGAAAATAACATCACAAGAACAAATATTTGTTTAGTTTCAAGATCAAAAATACGATATCCTTTCTTACCATGAGGGTATCCAATAAAGATACATTTTTTAGATCGAGGAGAAAACTTACTAGTAGGCAAGGAGTGATCTTTTGCATAACATAAGCAACTAAAAACTTTTAAGTGGTTATATAAAGGTGCCTTACCAAAGAGAAGTTCATACGGAGCTTTACCATCAAGTAATGGTGTGGGTGTATAATTGATAAGGTAGGCAACTGTGAGAACACATTCTCCCCAAAAGGAAATAGGTAAGTTGGCTTGAAATCGCAAAGCTCGAGCAACATTTAGAATATGCCTATGCTTTCTTTCCACCACTTGATTTTGTTGGGGTGTATTCACACATGAGGTTTGATGCAAAATCCCATTTTCATGAAAGAAGGCCTGCATAGAGTTAGAGAGAAATTCTTGTCCATTGTCAGATCTTATTTGCTTTACCTGCGAACCAAACTGAATCTTAACCATATTAAGAAACATAGTCAGAAATTGATAAGTTTCTGATTTGCATTTCATAAGAAATACCCAAGTAGCACGAGTGTAATCATCAACAATAGTAAGAAAGTAATGTGCTCTAGAATGAGAGGACGTTTGATACCTTCCCCAAATATCACAATGTATTAAAAGAAAGGGTAATTCAACTCTCTTTCTTTCAAGAGGAAAAGTATTTTTTGTTTGTTTTGCCCGATGACAAGGATCACAACATCTAGGAAAAGACTTGGGGTCAAAAGAAATATTTTTAGATAATAATGAAATACGATCAAATGAAGCATGCCCTAATCTTTGGTGCCAAAGCTCCATGGAAGATGAGACAATGGCATTCAAAATAGGAGTCTCTGTTATGGCCTTGAAATAGTAAAGACCATTATTCATTTTACCTATTCCGACCAATTTTTTTGTTGTTAGGTGCTGTAAAACACAAAATGTAGGTAATAAGATTACTGCACAATTTAAAACCCTACTAAACTTACTCATTGATATAAGATTGCATGTAAACTCAGGTATGTACAAAACATTGTCAATGGTAATATTTGGAGCCAAAGATGCTCGTCCAATACCATGTATAGAGACAAGCTTTCCATCAGGGATTTTTGCATAATTGTGGGTGGGTAAAGGTTGCAATTGTTCAAGTTTATTTTTATAGCCAGTCAAATGATCAGAAGCACCACTATCTAAAATCCAATCAGATAAGTTCACGATATTCTTACCAGAGACATCATTAAGAGAGGAATACAAATCCATGAATTCCTTACAAGAATTGAAGAGAGCTGGAGAAGTCGAAAATTGATTTGAGCTGCCCATGAACTTGCTGGGAATTTCCGCTGATTCTTTTTCAGCCATAAGGCCAGTTGTATCTGGACAGCAAAAATAAAACTCTAAAAGGATCAATTCTACTCTGATACCATGTGAGAATTGTGCATGTGGGTTCAACACAAGGCTTGCATCCAACCTAAAACCAATTGGCAATAGGTGGAGTAACCTTCCTTGTATTTAACCCACAAGCTTCTTATTTTTATACTCGATGTGGGATTTTCCCACTTAACACGCCCCTTCACGTGCAGGCCCTCTATGAATGTTGGGTCTTGTCACGTGGGTTAATACACCCCCTTAAATGCAGGCCCTGTATCTTCAACTTGGGTCCTGTCAGGTGGGCTAACAACGGGCTTCTCAAGATAGAATCTAAGCTCTGATACCATGAGAAAAAGTAATGTTCTTGTATATATTTCATAAAGAATTCAAGTACATATATATATATACAATGCTAGATAAGCTAAGGCAGAAGATCCTAAGCTAACGGTACATAATTGAATAAGGAAAAACTGGGAAATAAATATGCCTAACGGCTAGCTAACATCTAGTGATTGATTTTGTGCTGTGATTGAGATTCTATGCTAGTGAATATCTCTAATAAGAACAATGCTATTGGCCAAGCCGACGTGGTCACGTAGGCATGCGGTGTACGTTTGCTTCCTATTTCTGAGAAAGGGGGTAACCAATTTAAAAGCCCTCAAGTTCATAGGATATACCTAATATTTAAAAGGCATCATTTAAATCCTTGAAATCAAACAAGATTATTTTAATTTAGGGAATTATGGTTTAGTGATTGTAATGTTAGGGATTAGATTATATTATAAGGGTTCAAAATTCAAGGTCAAGGTATTAAGATTTAAATTTTTTTAAGTTTAGATTTTTTAAAATTTGATATTTATGATGTTAGTTAGGATTCAAATTTTTTAAAATTCAATATTTTGTGATATTAAGAATTATATTTTTTAAATTATATATTTTATGATATTAGGATTTAAATTTTTTAAAATTCAATATTTAATGTGTTAAGATTTATATTTTTAAGGTTTAAAGTTTAATATTTAAAAGTTTAAATATTTAATAATTTAGAAATTAAAATTATATAACCAAAAAATGAAATTTAAAATTTTGTATTTAAGAAGAAAAAAAAAACTATAGGGACCAATCGGCTTGGCCCTATGACAAATTATAATGGTAATTTTTAGTTGATATGATAATAAATGTTTATTATAATAAAATAAAATTAATAAAATATCTATTGATACATGCAAATACTATAATAAGTTATTTAAACTATAAAGTGATTATATCATATAAATTAAAAAACACTTATAATATTTAAAAATATTATAATTATAATCTTATATAATATTATAAATTTATAATTTAATGTGATATTATATAATTAATTTTTTTATTTAAATATTTACTTATAAAATTATATATATTTAATATTTTATTATATTTATTTAATACTAAATTATAATTATAGATTTATAATTTTATTTGATGTAGTCCTTGTACCGTTGCTACTGTAACAGTAAGAAGGACACCATCGGGCAATAAACAAGCCCAGTAATCAAATCCAAAATTATTTTAAATTTTCAAGGTTCGACTGCATAATAGTTTCGGACACTGAAATATTAAAATATTATTAATGAATTAAAACATATTATAATAAATTTAAACACCACAATACAACCTGAAAAATATGAAACGCTTTAAAAATTTTACAGCAACGATCAATATAATCTTTCATATGAAACGGTGACGGCTAATTGGTTTAAAAATCTTGACTAAAATATATATTTAGTCCTTTATTTTATTAAATTTGAAATTTTTAGTTCATTTTTTTATATTACAAAGTTTTTAGCTTTTAAACTTAAAAGTTTGAAGAATTTAATCCCTAACACTACTGCAGGAATGGCATTTCCGAACCGAAATATCGGTCCGTATATATAGGAAATCGGTCTGAATATATATATCCGGACCGATATTGGTCCTTATAGTTGATCTGAAAAAACCTGGTACGAATAAGTCTAATATACAGACCGATGTAGAATCGGTTCGTATATATATAATATCCGGATCGAAATCGGTCCGGATATTTCAGTAAGAAATATAAATAATTATTGGGAAATTGAAATAAGCGGACCGAAATTGGTCCCAAAAAATAATATAATAAAATAATAAAATATATACGAACCGACAACGGTCTGTAAGTGTGGCGGAA